TATTTTAAGCTGAAGCAGTGAACCAAATGACATTGACATTGCCCTGAGAGCTGACTATTGGAGATGGATAGTTATTTGGGTGGGTTGCAATAAAAAATTGTTTAATGGATATCTTTCTTATTGTCATGGGAGCATATTTAGACCTTCAAATTACACTTGTGTTCTTCTAGCTATGCTGCGCATACCAACTCTTGTCTTTCTGCGCTCTCCTCCTCTTTGGGAACACCCTGCTCCAGCCCTCCCAACATGTGGTATTACTTATAGCAGTAAATTTTGATGTATGGGAACATGTAGTAGCTTAAGAGAGGCTTTGGTCTCATAAAATAGTGGCAGCATTTATCTCCAAAAATACTTGGTTAAATATTTGAGATACATTATCTTCAAAATAAATAAATAAATATATTATATATATTTAAATAAATATGACTATTTAAAAAAAACAGTTTTCTCTTTGAAAATGAAAAAGTGTATGAAAAAGCAGAATTTTCAGCATCATTACCCCAGTCTTCATTGTCATTTGATGGTTAAAAACATCCATTATTATTATCAATGTTGAAAACAGTTGTGTACTTTTTTCTTGATTCTTTCATTTCATCTATTCGAAATAGAATATTTTGTAACATTATAAATGTCTTTAACGTTTGATCAATTGAATGCATCCTTGCTGAATGAAAGTATTCATTTATTTTAATAAATCCACAACTGTTTTCAACATTGATGAATAATAATAAACAGAAAAGTTTATTTTAAGCAGCAAATCAGCATATTAGGATGATTTCTGAAGAATCATGTGACACTGAAGACTAGAGTAATGATGCTGCAAATTCAGCTTTGCATCACAGGGATAAATTATTCTAATAAATTAAATGCAGCCTTGGCGAGCATACGAGACTTGTGTTAAAAACATTTAACATCATCACAAACTTTTGACCGGCAGTGTGTGTATATGTATGTGTGTGTGTGTGTTTGTGTGTGTGTGTATAAAGGTGTGAGAATAAATCACATGATCGTTGTCATGCGGTAAATCCGGCAAACTGGGGAACAGCTTTGACATCATCAGAGCTTGTGCAGACGCTCTTGAGAAGCTGCACGTGCTGAGTCCTCCGGCTACTTTTGAATGGCTCTTGCGGTACTTTGATAGCACTGCATCAAGTTGAACAAAATTTCTAACCGACCTGCACTGCTTCAAGTCAGCCACCGATCGGTCTGCGCAGAGCTGCATGAAGTCGAACAAGCCTATAATCACCTGAACTCCAAACTGAATGTCAGAATGGGAAAGAAAGGTGATTTAAGCAATTTTGAGCGTGGCATGCTTGTTGGTGCCAGATGAGCCGGTCTGAGTATTTCACAATCTGCTCAGTTACTGGGATTTTCACGCACAACCATTTCTAGGGTTTACAAAGAATGGTGTGAAAAGGGAAAAGCGTCCTCCGGTTATGACTGTAACCCTTGTTCCCTGAGAAGGGAACGAGAACTACGATGAAGCAGGCAGGAGAAGGCGTGGCAAAGGGACGCAGTTCGGTTACAGTCGTAACCCGAGGACATTCCCTTTCGAGAGAACTCAAACTACGTCAAATGACACTTTGGGGGGACGAGTACCCACTACGCCACAATGCGCCCTGCCTGCCCTAGTGTGAAGCTGCTCAAGAGAGCTGGGTGTCGACGGAATGTCCAAACCGTAAAACCTAATAAAGGTATGTGGGGTAGCCCATCAAGCTGCATCGCAGACCTCCTGGATGGGAGCCCCCGCGAGAATGGCCCTAGAGGACAGCCCATTCTCATCCCAAGGCGTCACGCCTTGGAAACATTTTGACCATGCTTCAATATCTGACGCTTTAGGCACCCTTTAGCGTCAGTTAGATGACGCCCTAGGATCGCGTTTAACCCTACCCCAAACCTAAACCTACCCGCGGTGGGTTTTAAACCTAAACCTTTTCCTTTAGCGCCAGTTAGATGATGCCGTAGGATCGAGTCATGTAACTGACACTAAAGGGCGCCTAAAGCGTCAAATATTTAAGCATGGTCAAATGGTGACGCCTTGGGGTGAGAATGCGTTGTAGAGGACGCCATGCCTGTAGTGGAAGGAGTCCTCACAGCCAAAGGTGAAGGCATACCGCGCACCTGGTAGGCCGTGGAAATCGCATTGACAATCCAGTTGCTGATGCTTTGTTTTGAGGCAGGAAGCCCTTTCTTGGGCGACCCAAAACACACCAGCAACTGATCCGCCTTCCGCCATGAAGAGGACCTCTGAATGTATATTCTTAGTGCTCTGACAGGGCAGAGACTATGAAGCCTCTCTTCATCTGTTGTCATGTGAGGTGGAGGATGAAATACCTGCAGAACCGTAGGCCATGCCGCACTGGACGGCACTTTGGGCAGATAGCCGGGCTTAGGGTGAAGGATGACCTTAATGTTGCCTGAAGCAAACTCCAGGCACTCGTTAGAAATGAAGAGTGCCTGAAGATCTCCCACCCTCCTCAGAGAAGTGAAGTCCGCCACATAATCCTCAATGGGACCATTCCCCTGGTGCAGACGAAGGAAGGAACCTGCTGGGTTAGTAATAGGTCTAGTATTCTGTAACAAATGTCAACTAGAGGCGATTATTAATGAAGCCATGCAGTTTCATTATTACCATAAACGTGAACTAAATAGCCTACAAAATAAACGTACACTTGACTTGATATTAACTGGATCAAAAACCATGAAGCAAGAAAAGAGAAGGCAAGAGAGCAATGAAACTTGTGGGCTCATACAGAGAGACTAATGATTAACAAGGAATACCTGTGCATAACATAACACAAGGGAACCAACGGTGCATTTACAACTGTCCACATCAATAGGTTATCTGGATGTATCTAGATAACAAATGGGATCTCGCATCTCGAAAATGTCAAAAAGGATGGTTCCGGTGCAAAGTAAACCTGAACTGGTGTTTTTTTTTTTTTTAAATGATAATAATCATGCCATACACAGTTCACCTAAAGTTTTCTGCAATTTTTCTGACCCCATACAACAAACGAAAATGTCTTAATCTCTGAAAATTTCCCTTCACATGTTCTAGGGGCTGGCTGATGGGAATACATTTTTGAATAGACGGTCATGATAAGCCTGGAGGCTAAAAGAAGAGTCTGAAAGCCCCTGTTGTTTCTTGGTAATGTGCTCTCGAGGGACAAGTGATGAAGTGATACATTTTGAGTGTCGAAGGAAATGAAATTGCAAGATTTCAGCGGCTTGATTAAATTAGCGTCTGTCATGCAGGAGGTGATAAATTAACCCTCTGTCTGATCTTAAGTTACACATGAATATCAAGAAAAACAGGCAACAGAAAATAAAAGACGATTAAGTTATCACTCCTACATGAAAAGATGCACAAGGGGAGGTGAAGCGAAACTTGTGACAACTTGATGAGAGCAAGAGAAAGAGGAAAAAGCTGTAATAATAGATGAAATCATTATCAGAGGTACGACAGTGCATTAGTTCATAGGGCGGACATACCCATAAAACAGCACATTTGTTGCAGAAAGAGTGCAAGGGAATTAGTTAAAGGTTGACACACTGAACACTGTTCTGTAAGAAACGCAACAAATAAACAGAGAAATGTTGCCCTGCACTAGAGGGGAGTGTGGGGTAAGATGTGCCAGTTTTGTTTTGCTCAACTGAAACAACTTTTTTATAAAATTAATAATTATATGGCATCTTTAACACATGTGGGCCCCATGATGTCAAAGGATAAGTTGATCAATTTATTTTTAAGTAATAAATAAAATATAACTGGCCCATTTGCAAAGCTCCATCCCTCTTGGTTCATCAGACAAACTTTGAAGAATATCCCACAGGAACGAAAACAGAAATGGATATTTTTGCAAACAAAGTAGTTTTCAGTAAATGTCCTTGATAAATAAAAACTGATTAAGTTTTATTGTTTTAGGTTTAGAGAATACAATTCAAATAAAGCATTTGGTGTGCTCTCATTGTGTTAGTAGGGCAGGATGGGGTAAGATGGGTCAGTGGATAAGCTGTCACCTAGTCTATCTTTCTGAGCCCTGAGCTGAGATTCACATGAGAAAAGTTTTTTATTTCAAAGAGTATTTGCTACACTGCAGGTAGAATTCATTTTGTGATGAAGTAGCCTATAGCCTATTTTAATAATTATATTTTAAATTGATTTATCAAGTTCAACTAATATAGTAAGCTTTGCCTTTAATAACAGGGAATATTAGCCAGCATGTTGTTTCATTGCAATCAAATATTCTGAATAGCCTATTTCCTGTTTGCAAAAATAATAATAATAATAATAATAATAAGACTTTGGAATGGGGCTATGCATTAGCAGGCTACATTTCTATTTTATTACTTTTTTCATATTTTAGGTCATATTTTTAGTCGTACCCTAGTTTAAACTCCATCTAATTTCTCCTTGCCTAAAGGGTAACTTAATTTAAAAAACAGATAGTTTTAGCCAGAATACTGTACTACTGCTGTAGATGTCACTGTTTACCTCAGTGCTAGCACACGTCTGTCACATTTGACCATTTATAACACAGAAAAGTGAAACACGTGTGCTACATGAGATTTGCAGTAAAACCAACAAAATCACGTTGCTACTAGCCTATAGCTAGTTTACACTTCATTTACCGGTGGCGAAACTTTGAATGGTCTTTTTTATTCAAAATTTGAATATTGTTTTTTACAGTTTCCATAACAAATTGTAATTTCGCCGTTTGTTTTGCTCTTCATCGTCTAGGTTAAGACTTGTTGTTGACATATCGCAAGCAGAGAAATAATAAGATGCAGTAAAAAACGGTCCCCGTGATGAAACGTTTTCCAGAAAGATACCAAAAACCACTAAGCATTTCTATTACGCCTCAGAGCTAAAACACTCCACAGCCATAAGCTACAAAACATCTTACAAACTATTTGCTGTCACGACGAGCGACCCCATCCTGTGAAAATTAGCAGGAAAACATCTCCTTTTAAATAAATCTGAACTGGACGTTTTATGTGGTGATTGTGAAATCGATTGAGTGAGACCCAGGGCAGTAGACGACCGAGAGAAACTGGGGTGGGCGGGAGTGCGCAGAAGTCACACGATAAAAAGGCTTTGCTCTTGGGAAAAAACTCTTGATTCTATCTGCAGCCTTCCGTTCTCCAACGTGCGGTATGAAGCGTCTACCTGGATACTTATCATCATTACGCAGATTTAGGTGACTTTCTTTCCCTCCCGACTTGGATTCTACTTTATTTTGGATATGTACCTTTGGGATGAAGAAAACCCTTTCCCTGCCCGCCGAAGTAAGATAAAATAGGGTTTCGCTGACATTGGAGTTACTCCTCTCGTTCCATATGAAGAAGTCAAACGTAAGTGAACGGCTTTTTCTTTAACTTTGCTAGTAATTTAGCGTGAATCACGTGTGATTTGCATTTGTTTTCGCTCCGTTGCGCGTGCAAAACTGCGCTGTCTGCAGAAGGTAACTGAAGGAAATGTAAATAAATACAAAAGCATGTTTATATTACAACACGTTAAAGCGATAGTCTTCGTCTTGTCAGACTTTTCCGCATTTAATTGGTAGCCTAGGTGGGGGTGTGAAAGGAGCTAACACCTAATGGTTTATTTGAAATTATCTCGTTGCTTGACATTATTAAGTGCCTTGATTTAGAAGAGGCGGATGTCATTATAACAAAAAATGCTCCCATCAACTTAACTTGTCACTATTTAGTAATCTCCACTCAATTTGCCTATGAATTTTCATAGTTTGTTCAAATGGTCGAAAGTGCAATTAAATGATCACCTTCAAATTGTTTGAAACATGCAAGGCAGGAATATAAGCTTAAGAAATTATCTTTTTATTGACATTCAGACTAGCCTATATTCTCGACAAAATTTGTTCTCTTTTGAATAATATGACAATTAAAACATGATGAAATGAGCGATAAAGTCCTTGAAAAAGGATAAGAGCAAAATAACTAGTCTACGATAAAACGCAACGACCTTTGAGCGTAGGCCTAATACAGGTGTTAGCCTATAAACATAATGTGAAAACGAGATTTTCCTGATACGTTACTCACTATTTTGGTCATGTTGTACAATGAGAACTAAGCCAGTGGAAATGGTTTTCATTGACTGTGGGGGATTATTTAGTCGTAATGCATCGTATCTCGACCAGCATCAGTAACGCGTCGCCTACCCTCCTTTCCTTGAAGTAAACTATGCCAGGCTTTGTAAATTATGAGCATTCACCTGAAAAACATTTGCCTTGGTGTAAGGATATTTTTACTCTCACTTCAAGGCGGCTTATTCTATAGTGATGTATGAAGAGCAGACATAAGTCATTCCCCTTGCACCTTTGTCCTGCTTTGAATTTGCATTACCTCTTGCTGGGAGTAAGGCAGTTTTAAGATGATTCATTGGTATGAAATGTTGGAACATTCACTTGCTTCAGTAAAACACTTTTTTGAGTAGGCTTGCCTACCATATAATTATTTAATTTCAACTTCAGGAGTTTTCATCAACACACATAAATCTGTCTTCATAAAGTTTTTTTTATTTGAAGAACGGTTCGCATCCATGGATCCTTTCCATTGCACAAAATGTTCATTATAGTGGAAAAAGGTTTAGATTATTAAAATGTTCTTTAAAAAAAAAGGTTATTTGAAAGAACCTTCAAGGTTCTTTAAGGGAAACCAAAATGTTGGTTCTTTGGCATCACTGTGAAACCCCCCTTTAGAAACTTATATATTATATTATATTTGAATATCATTGCTTTTCTTGTTATTATCACTTGTAACATTATTACACAAAATAAAGTTAATCACTGGCAAACATAAGCACAGGAAGCTCTCTCATACTGTACACGTGATAGTTATGAATTCTGATCAAGATTGAGGCATTTCATCTTGTGGTTATTCTATTAGAAAGAATTAAGTGTATGAAGTGGGTGCAGCTCTGTTTCAGTGCACAGTATTCTGTGGCTGCAGTTAAAAAACAAACCTTGTATGTGAATAATAATTGAACTTTTTTTCCATCACCCGTGACAAACATCGGCCCTTTTGCCAAAACTACACAATTATGTGTAGCATCTAGCTTGAAAGCAAACATTTGATCATGTGCCAAGCCCAAAGGCAAAAGTAAGTGACAGTTTGCAATGTGACTATGAGGAAGTATGTTCTGCACCAAAAACTAGCAATCTTGAAGTAGGGGAAGATTGGGAATTTTGCATTATTGAATTTCCTTTTCATGAGTAACTAATACCAGATGTTTGTCTGGTATGTTCTTCACACATGTCCATATGAAGCGCATGCTTCTTCCTGGAAAAAAAAAAAAAAATGGTGAAATGTGCAGGTATTTTGACAGTTGGCATTCTTGTGTATGGACTGTATTTTATGTACAAATGTGATTTGTGTGTTTAACCTCTGAAATTAGACATGCAAAATGTTATATTAGCACCTCAGCTGTGAAGTCATTGCAAATAAAATGAGCTATTCAGTAACATATGTTGTATAGAGACCATAGCAGTAATTCCATTCATAATCTTCAAAACTGGTTTTAATGATAACAGATCTTTTAAGACACGGCTAGCATGCACAACCAGATTTTTAAGCAATGGCATATGCTTGAGTATAAGTCATAAGTCCTTTTTTTTATTTAGAAATTTCAATTTATTTAAAAAAAGCACATTTAGTTAGGAAATCCCTAGAAGGTCCTTTTACTCTGCAAAAGAACCAAATGTAGTTAATATGGGAGGTTGCAGCATTACCCCAATAAAGAAACGCACAGATGACCTACATTATTTGCAGTGCTTTATGTGTTGTCCATCAGTTCTCTCATAATTTGGCTGTCATGTGTTGTTGTCTTTTCCCATCATTTAAATACTTTGTTACTTCAATCAAATGGTGTACTGTAGATAACCATTTATTGAAGAATTATTTTTGATTGTTTGATTGTTGTAGTCTACTAAAGCAAAAAGCACATTTTTCTCCCTAAAATCACTGTATAGTTACAGTATAATGTTTTTTTCCCCCTAAAAACTGCAGAAATAGCAATATAACATGTGAAGACAACGTTTAATAAAATTGATGGACAATGTTGGGGTAAATGGCCAAAGGATCTTGGTAACAACAGATTTTCTGCATATTGCTAGAAATGTTTTTGTGATGCAGTTAAGTCATTTTGCTTGGGCTGTAGCTGAACAATAGTGTGCTGTTGTGTCTACGTTTAAGAAAGTTTATGGGCCGTAAATCTGATTTTGTCATATCAGATGATTCGACTTGTCCTGTTAAGTCACTGACGAAGGGAAGATTTTTATATTGTGTAAATTAAGAAGCAGAAGTCCTCTAGGCAATAAATTACCCACTAACCCAAACACACAATGAGCTGAGTCAGTGTTCAGACAAAAAAAAAAATTGGTACATAAATTAGTTAGTACATAAATATGTGGTTTGAAATGAGAAGATAAAGTAGCAGAAATTACCATTTGTGTTGTGGGTTGAGCCATAATTTAAAGGAGCATTATCATTGCCAACATCATTGCAGCCATTCCATGAAGCCTGTTCACCTATTTACTTTGTTTCCATATCCTTTTAGTCCTTATACTTACCTGGCTTTGACACAGGCTAAGCCTAGTCCAAATAAAAAGGTTTTCAATAGCGGATAGCCATTTACAATAAAGGGTGAAACTTCATCCGTGTTTGGAAAGAGCTTAATTGCATAATGGACTCTTTAAAGTGAATTGAGCCCAATGATAGAAATGAAATCACTGGACCAGCAAATAAATCTCTTGCTTTCATTGGCGCACTTTGTAAACTGGATGTCAATCAAATTAAACCCCGAGCATATAATATGATCCTCATCATTTTTTTTATTTCTGTGTTGTGTGTTCTATTAGCATAGCTACTTTTCGTGGTTAGTTCCTGAACAAGGCCTCCCTCCAGGACAGGCTATTGTTATTTTTGCTCCCACCCAGTCATAGAGTCCCTCTAAATTAGCTATCAAATAGGCAGATCACATTTCATTGGACTCCTGTGGCACTGTTGCCCTTTATTTAAACACTCATAAGGGGACAGTGTAATTGATGCTTCCCTAGCTAGTGTAAATCCGCTATGTCTTTTCCAATTCTTTCGTTTGGCTTCAGAAGCTTAGCAGAACCCAATGACTTTGACTTAACCGACTAAGAAATAGTACGAAGCACAGAACAGAAGTGTATAGTCATGGGTGCGTGGTGAGGACGAATTAAACATTCTTCTGTCTTGGCAACATGAGAGAGCACATATATTCTTTGGGACATGTGATAGCATCTTTAGCTAGTGTTTATTCGGTTAGCCAGAGGTTTGTAAAGTGCACCTGAATGTCTGAGTGCAATTTGCTGAAGCAAATTTGATTTGAGTAGTTTTTGAGTGGATACTGGTCGCTGACTATTCAACAGAGGCTGAAACGATTATGCTAGTTTTCCGGCCACTGATGTTTGTCCTCTCGCTATTCTGGCCTGCGTAAGTTGATCACATGGCTTTACAAAACCGTCTTCCGGACTCACATCTTGTCACTTTTTAAATCAAAATTAAGAGACTGTATGTTAAGTATCTTTAAGCCTTTTCCTTGTAGCATGAATTGGTAGCATTTGTCGCATTGCTAACACGCAGCTAGCGGATATCAGACATTGGGATGCTTCTTGTATTTGAATTATTAGACTGATGTACACCATGTGATATATAAGTGATAACTGTGAAAAGAAAGAAGATGGATGGTGACTAGACATTTTTCCGGGCACCATGTGTTACACTGGGCTCTGTTCTTACTAATAAGATTATGTAGTGAATGGTACATTGTTCAGAATGAGCTTGTACGTCTGGGGAGCTTGCAAGTTAATAAACCCTTGTGATCAAAGTGTCTGGTCAGCATGACTCTGGTGATCATCTTATTCTCTAGCTGACAGAGTTACTATAACACACGATGTTCAAAAGGAAGGGTGGAGTTTGTGTCACTGCCGGTGTTTAGATCAGCTCATGGTTAGCCATAATGAGATACTGTTCTTCTCCTTTGTCCAGCTAAGTGAAAGTCACCTCTTTCGTTTAATCTGTTGTAGCTAACACTTTCGAGATTTATTTGTTTATCATTCAGGGGTCTATATCCTATCAAAAGCCTGTTTATTTAGACTAAGAGTTTAAAAGATATTTGCACTTGGGAGATATAGTCACGTTACAGGATATTACAGGAAAAAGGAAAAGGAAAAACAAAAATTAATTTGAGATATAAAGTCATGTTGTATAATTTTGCCATTATAGAAAAAGAGTCACATTATGAGAAATAAAGTCACACTGTAAAAAAATATTTTCAAGATTTGTTATCACAGCATTTTTTTTCTTTTGTCAAATCAACTTAAATAATTTATTTAGTTCAGATAACTTATTATTTTGAGTTTTTGATGATTAAATCACCTTCATTGTATTAACTCACTTTTTCCATTTCAATCAACTTAAAATTTTAAGGCAACCAGGTTATTTAATTTTTTAAGGTTAAACTAACAATATTTTTTACAGCACAATTATGAGAAACTAATTTGAGACTGTGATATAAAGAGTTGCATTGTGAGAAATAGGACTAATTTTCTTTTTATTTAATTTTTTTCTTAGGCAGAAACATGAAAAGCTAATTGTAGAGCAGAATAACCCTATTTTGGATCAAATCATTAGAGCTATTTGTAATGATTTGTTACCTGTTGTATTTGACATGTTGTTCAGCTGATCCTGTCATCGGTTCACTTTGCTTACGCTATATTGATTTATGACAGTCGGCGTTGAATATGAGGCAAGAGAGTTTGAATGGTTCACATTTAAATGGGCACAAGTGTTTGTTGAGTTGATGTGTCCAAAGTACTTGCTGAAATCATTGTTCTTGCTATGAAGACACTTTAAAGTCTGGGAGGAAGTAAAATGTTGGATAATATAACCAATAAAACATCTGGGCTTCCATATGTTGCTTCAGTCACCAAATTTCAACAAATCCTGCTCATCTGGTTCACAACACGCAAGAGCCCATTACAGTCTCCAATGATGCTGTCTGAAAGACTTGCTACAGATAAACTGCTTGTTCGAGTACATACTAAATTCCAGATGCTGTAGCTTTGTTTACTTTTATTTGTAGTCCAAAAATTCAAAGCAAGACCTAAGCATTTACATATGGTTAGTCTTATTTATAGTTTGATGCAAATAAGCATGCCCTGTTTAACCAGGTAGAACATTTTAGGAGAGTTAGTTGGAAATATATAATTTCCCTCTTATAAATTTGTAGATTTGCTTAAAAAGCCTATGACCTGCCTAACAGTATCAATTTAATGTGAAATCATTGATGCCATGATGTAATCGGTGATGAAACAAGGCTCTTCCTTATGGCTGAAGGTAGGACTTATTTACCTTTAAATATGGTCTTCAAGAAAACAAACTGGTTGCATGGAATTGGAGATAGTTTAAACTGGTTATCCAGTGTTAATGAGATATTTGTAGTTTATCTACATTTTATTAAATTACATTTGTAGTTTAGTGGTGGTGGTGCTTTTATTTGCATGCTGTTTTTATACTGTCAATAAATTCATTTAGAACTAGAAGTTTAAATTCTGTAAAAAAAAACAAAAAACAAAAAAAAACATTAAAGCACCACTTCTCCAACCATCCATATTTAGACTAAATGTTTTTGTTTTCTTTTTATTGAACTGTGTCTCACTGTTTACTTGAACATCCTGCCATGGTGTTCGCATTTTTAAGATGCTATGTCACATTTCCGAATTAATCTAAATATCTAATGAGAAAAAGTGTAGAGGTGGATATTTTATTTTATTTTGAACAATGAAAAGTGTAAAACAGCCAATTAAAATGTTACTTAGCTAAAACTATTATTAAATAAAATGCTAGGCTAAATAGAATGTTGGTTTGCTAAAACAATGGCTAAATATATTGTTAGCTTCATACAACAACTACTATTGCAAAATAAGACAAATAGAATGCTAGTTTGTTGAAACAACAGCTAAATGGAATGTTTTTGGAATGTCAAAACTATTAAATAGAATGCTATTTTTTGCTACAAAAGACAAATAGAATACTAGTTTGTTAAAACATTTGCTAAATGTAATCCTAGTTTGCTAACAAAAGAAAAATAGAATCTTTGTCCAAACAATGGCTAAATACAATGTTAGTTTGCTAAAACAAAGGCAAAATAGAACGCTAGTTTGTAAAATAGAAAAGACTAATTGCTAGTTTGCTTTAAAAAAAAGTCTAAATACAATGTTAATTTGCTAACCCAAAGGCTAAATAGAATGCTAGTTCTCAATGATGGTTTGCTAAAAATAAATTAATTAATTAATTAATTAAAATCGAACACTGCTTGCTTAAAAAAAGACTAATAAAATGTTACTTTGCTAAAACAACAGCTAAAAAGAATGCTAGTTTGTGTAAATAGGTTAACATTATCCAATAAGCCTGCACAGCCTTAGTGATATCAGTAAAAAAAAAAAAGGAAAGTGGTTTCAGATGAAAATGATTGCATGTTAATGTAAAAATGAACTTTGGAATAGCATGAATCATTCGCATTAAGAAAGTAAATATGGTCCGTTTTGAACGATTCATCCATTTTACATGAGACCCCTGCAACTGCTTTTTTTTAAATGTAAATGCCTCCCTAGAAACGCATTGGATCAGGTCACGTGATCCCAAATCCCAAAAGAAATTTTCGAAAATACGTAATTGCAGGGCATCAATTTTGTAATTGTGCAATTATATACTCAGAGCATCTCGCAGCTGAACAGCCTTTCCTCGAAATATTCTGCTCTTCACCTCTGTCCGCTCCCTCTCAGAGCAAAGCCGAAACTCTTTCTTTTACTGGCCCGTTTCTCCTGACAAGGCTCATGCATTGTTTGTCTGGGATCACCCTTGTAATCAGGGCTAAGAGCAAATCTGCCTCTTGTTATGCAACAAGCTAAAATCGCAGGTCTGGAAAGAGTAGAGCAAAAGCTTTAATAAAGCTCTAAGCCACCATGGGACAACCAGCTTTATAGCGGCGGAAGGGAAGGAGAGTTTGCTAGACAAAAACGTTCATTTATTCTAGTGAACCCTACCCGGATATTCTTAAAATAGCAGTGAAAACATTTTCCGCTTTAACACTCCTCTGAACAATGAGATTATAAATTAGGACACAGATCTGTATTATTAAAAGAATTCAGATCTATTAGCCTCAGACTGATCTTTTAATTCTTGTTTTTTCAGATTTGGATATGCACCTGTGTCCATTTATTGCTGTACATTACAGTTGCTGCCTATTCCAGTGAAATAGGAAATCCCATTACAGATGACATCAGGAAAATTTCTTTGTTGGTAAGAGCTCGGACATTCTTATCTCTCCAGTGCCGTGGGTTTTTTCGTTTTTTTCTGATCTTATTTTTTTGAAAGACAAAACAGCAAAGGCTGATTTATCCATGCTCAGGGGAAAAGAGCTCAAATTTATTTCATGTGTGTTGGAATGAAAACTGCAGACATATGGTTCAAAGTATGATAATGGAGTCGTATACATAAAGAAATGCTTTTCTGCAGACAGTCTCTTTAGAAACATCAAAAAACATTGGCTTGTTGAAAGTATTATTGAGTTTATCGCTTTGTTTGAACTTGTGTGTTGTTTAATGGTATTCACTTTCCTTTAGCAAAATATTTATTATGAATTATGATGCAACATCACTGTGCGTGCCATTTGCTGAAAGGTTGATGACCAGTGATTAAAATGTAGATCTTTTGAAGTAAATATGTAACATATGTTGGTAGTTTTCGTTACTATACATAAGCCAAGGTTATAAAGCGAATTACAGTAATTCTTGGTTTATATTGTGGTTACTTAATAGTCAATTTTCCGTTTTGCATTTTTATTGATGATCAAATGACCATGTGCAGTGTAGTATTTGGCACTTAGAATTGGCTTTTTATGATTTATTTCTCTCCCATTAGAAACAGAATATTCCAAAAGACTACAAGATTACAGTTCGTTATATACCTAAAGAAGTGGTGAGTTGTTCTTATTCAATTTTCGTGGAATCATTCACAGCAATAAAAGCGAGCAGGTTGATGACAAAGTAATGTCTTTTATTTTTTCTTCAAGAGTGATATGTGCTGGGTGAAGCTAAATGTATTTCACTTGGAGGTGAGCTTAAAAGGCCTGGCGCAGAAGTTTGGGAACATATCCTCCAATAAAGATAATATAGGCACTTTTGTCAAAATACTGCAAGAGATGCGGTATCACATTGGACAGGGCTTGGTAAGTTACCTTAACCAAGTGATAACATTAAACAACCGTTTTGCATACCGGTGAAATTTCTTATGTTTTATTATTTTGAAACCATTGTCTTTTCAGCAATGGTTTCTAAAAAAAATGTAAAAAAAATGGTAGCACTTTATTTTACTGTCCTGTTCCCCATGTACATACTACAGTATGTGCTTATTATAGTAATTAAAATAAGTGGGTAATAACTAGGTACTAACCCTGAACCTACCCCTAAGCCTAACATTAATCCATGTAGTTATATTATCCAGTAATTTCTTAGGTAAGTACACTGTAAGTACATGTACTGTAAAATAAAATGCTACCAAAAATGTAAAACATTGTAACTAATGACCAACTTTTGTAAATTGAATAATTTTGTGAATAATTTATTTGAATAAGCGTATATTACTATTTAAATTTATATTTGAAAGTATCTTTAAAAATTAAATCGTAAATCAACAATTATTTTTCTGTACCTTTTAGGAGGTTTCAATGCTAGAATTCGAGTGTCATTATGTAGAGGAGATGTGGCTTACGGCAAAGTATTTTGAATATGTGGAGGACTTTTTCAACACTGCCAATTCGTCGAGAGAGGCCGAGGATTGCGATCCCCCGCCATGTCCCACGTCCACAAAAACAACAGTAACGACAACTACAACGATGTCGCCAACGTCAGCGCAACATAGTACAAATGGTGAGGCGCATGTTATAACCAGCCTTAAAGGCCTTTGTACGAAGGCATGGACACCATTTGCAGAGTGTTGTCTGTGTCACTTTTTAATGAAGCTATTGAGAAACTGCAGAATGTCGTTTGTGGAAGACCGCCCATTTGCAACTGAGGTTTTAGATGTTAACACCCGCTTTTAAATCATATCTCTTGTGGCAGCTTTGGTTGCAATTTTCCGCATGTTGTGTGTGTGTGCGTGGGTGTATGTGTGTGTGCAGCATGCCTTTCAAACGAAGCCGCTGGACAAAACGAGAAGGCAACATGTTTTTGTCAGCCCTATTATGACAGAGTCTCAGCTGAGTTTCAAAACCAAGAGATGCTCCCTAGTGAGCGGCATGAAAGGGAGAACAGAATCGAAGTCCAATTGTCACCATGTTGATTACAGAGCAATCTTCAGATCTTCCCAAGCGCAAGCTCTTTCTTTCTAAAAGTGGACAGATCAGATCTTTCATGGGGCGGAGAGAAAAGGAGATTGTGTCCGACTTTTTAAGCATCTAACAATGAACGGTTTCTATCTGCGACTTTTAATGCTTCTCTGTTTCTGGCTTTCTCTAGAGAAACGTAACGGTTTGCCTGATGACCCCGAAAAAGGTGAGATATCACATAAATGTCTTCAGTCATCACTATTGTGCTCTTCCAAGGGATAGTTGATCCAGAAATGAAAAAACACTTACGTATCCTCATGTTGTTCCAAACCAACCTACATGACTTTCTCTCTTCCCTGGGACACAAGAAGAGATACGTCTATTTTCCAAATGATAAAATTGAATAGGGAATAAGGCTGTTTTATGCCTTTTTTTGTTTAGTCTTATTATGTTTGTGGGGGAATCCAGGAACAACATGGAGTTGAGTAAATGATGACAGAAGTTTCATATAATTTTTTACAGGTACACACTGTAACTTTTGGCTCTCTCGCCATTAATAAAAACAAAACTGCATGCATTTTGCAGAAACACATTGTTTTGGTTCTGCTCTGCATGAATGTGCAGATGAATATGGTTCTTTCTCATAACTAAAAAAATACATTGAGATTATCCTACTGCTCATAAAACATGCCCTACTAGGCTTAAGATCCATAAGATGGAAAGGATCTCAAGCTGACTAGCTAAAGACATTACTGTAGCTATACCCATTAACAGGCATGGTACTTCCTTGAAATTAAATTCCAGCACTGCGCTACAATAGCCCATAGTGAAATGATCCTGCACAATAGATAATGTTTTAAAATAAACTCTTCTAGAGAGCTACATATGGCAATTTATCTGTTCATTTCCAGTCCCTCAGTTTTTGCCATCTCCGAAAAGCCAAGCCAATGTTGGTTCTTGTTTTATCACAGGCTCGTTCTTTTTTTGACAGCAGACTCTCCTCAGTTCTTTAAAGGGTGATTCCTCGGAGGTTCGAGATATAGCTGCTCCATGTAAACCTTTCTCACTTGTTGTGCCAACTAACCTATGCCACTCGCCACACCATATATGCGGCAAAGTAGCCAGAGCAACTTTTCTTTATTTATGGATCTGAAGATATATACACACAGACGAGTGACGTATGTACGCAATTTTCTGAGAAAACCATCTTGCCAGATCTAGATTGATGATGTATTGAGTCGTTATTTAAATTTTGTTCATTTTTAACAAAAAAAGTCCATAGTGTACCATTAAAACATTTTATTAACATTTTAATAATTTTATTCTTCATCTTATTTTATTTTTGGTAATCTATTTCTTTAATATTTGTTTAAAGGTGCTATAAGCGATGTCACACATTTTTAGGCTGAAACATTTTTTGTCACATACAGCAAACATCTCCTCACTATCCGCTAGCTGCCGGTCTCCTGAACACACTGTAAAAAACAAACAAACAAACAAAAAAAACTGTGCAAACCTGCACCAGGAAACATGACAAATAGTGTTCCACCCAATAACCGATAATAATAATGATTTGGGGGGTGAGGGTTGGGGAGTTGGAGGGTTGGTGCTTGCACATGAAGGGGGGTGTGGAGGAGAGAGAAGCATGAAGAGGGAAGTTAGCTAGAGGAGAAATGTCCTGGACAACGACAATGACTAACGTTAGAATTATATTCTCTTGAATTTTGATACGGCCGACACACGGCCAAAAAGACGACGTTCCGATGAACAAACAGCAAGAGAAGGGGTCCCGAATTAATTAGCCCTATCTCATGAGAGTTTGTATCTATAGCACGAATGTCATTTCTCATGCCATTTATACGCCAAAAATAGTTTTTGCGTGTATATGGTATGCGTTTTTCGTGTGCATATGCTACGCACTTTATGGCGTATAATAAGTACGGACTCCCCATCCCCCTTCCCCCTAAACCTACCCAAGGGGTTTTCAGTGCGTAGCATATGCATGCAAAAACAATTTTTGGCATATAAATGCCACTAGAAATGACAATCGTGGTATAGATACGCACTTTCATGAGACTGTGTTGGAATTAAAGCTACACTGTGTAACTTTTTTTAGTTTATTCTTAGCTAAAAACACTTAGTTCTTTCAAAAATATATGTGCTCATTAATGCACATTTACTTCGTTCAAGTAATAAAGTATTGTCGTGAGTGTATAATATGCCATTGAAAATACATACGGGTAAGGGGTTCTAATGTCGGTCGCCATGTTGCCCCTCCATCTTGAAAGTACATTAGCCAAAGAGGGACATACCCGTTAATTCAAACTTCGCCTTTCACGTTTACGTTTGAGTTAACACTCATGAACGAGGTCGAACTGGAAGCCATCTTAATCTTGGACTACATTGGCCACCGTAGGAGTTAAAACGAAATCGGAATTGAGAGAAACAGAAACTAATATTCACTGGATGGTCATATACCTTTTCACCACTAGATGGGAGTAAAAATTACACAGTGTAGCTTTAACATCGGAAAAGCCTGTTTCAGGAAGCACGGAAGGGAGGGGGAGGCGACGGGATGAGGGAAGGCTCGAGCTAGCCTCCGTTTTGTTTGACAATACTTCGAACGTCAACAAGAAGTGACGTCAACCAACATCGCTAAGAGCACCTTTAAAAAAAGACACTATCTATTGAGGAAACGAGGAATGACATGAGGTCAAATTTTGACGAAAATCAACGAAAAAATAACATGTTGAGTAAATCATGACAGAATTTTTATTTTATTTTATTTTGGTTGTTCCATTCCTTTAACATTTATTTGAAGAAAACTGTCACGCTATGTAGATCAGGTCAGTTTAGTTTAGTTCATAATTACAGACAGATGTTTTCGGCAAGGATCAAAGGTTATCTGGCTATCTGTCATCGTCTAACAAGTGCATATTTGCAAACTAATAAAACCAGTCTAATTTGTCTCTAGGGGCATTCCTTCCGAAAGTTGTGGAGAGCAGTCTTATGTCCCTCCTCGCCATCCCGTTCATGGCAGTGGTGTTTTTGTTGGTGTGGAAGGTATGTGTGCTGGCTTTCTCTGCTAAGCCTTCAAGATCACAGCATTTTCACTTTATGTTCTGACTGGTATTGTTTTTTGTCTGTTTGTGATGCAGATTAAATCTAGAAGAAATGCCCCCCAAACTGAACAGAGTCCAGAAGAAGGTCCCACCCTTTTCTCAGGAGAGGAAGTCAGTGTACCCCCGTTAGATGTGGAGATATCTGAAAAGTAATGTTTGCAACAGTCAAATCTGCATAGTGTGCTGTTTTTTACACTTTCATTTTTTGACCCTTTAAAATATGTGGATACTTAAGTTATACTTCAGATTGGGCACTGCCTAAAAATAAATCAAATTAAATGTCACTATATATATTGTTTTATAACAAATAAACACACACACACACACACACACATATATAGATTTTAAGTATGTTTTAAGTATGACACTCCAACTTTCTATTTTCCTTTTCCAGAAACAGATTAAATATTATCATGGTGGTGTAAATCCACCCCCATCTTAACCAACGCAGGTGAATAATAATTTCATAAGTTCTTAAAATAAATGAAGTTTTAACTTAACCTACTTTAACACACAAGCTGTTAGTGATATATATATAACATTTTACAGTCACTGCTTCAGACGGCACAACGGACAGGAACAAACAAGCACCACCTCCGAAAGATTCTCTTACTGAACTTCTAGCTGTGAAGGACACATTCAGGCCTGAAACTGCTCTTTGAGAACTGATGCCCTCTTATAAACCACTGCTGAACCCATTGGGGTTGATACGGTTGCTCCTTCTGAGAACTTCTGAGTCACACTTCATGCTCTTTCACACTTCCTTCTCCTCTCGGAGACCGCAAGGAGACTGTGCAGGAGGAATTAGATGAAAAACAGAACGAAAGCAACACGGCATTGGATTCACCCGGAGATGTCAAATAGCCAAGCGCATTTTTTCGAGCGCAGGATCCGCAGTTCAGAAGGAGGGCAGCCATATTATTGCTTGAGAGCAGATGGCTATCGAAAAGGAGTTAAAGCAGAATCGACTACCTCCAGCTGCTCTGGTCCATCTCCTTCTTTCTTTCTTAATCCTTGTTCTCTCTCTTTCTTTTGGTCTGGGCGTCCAAACAGACGTCTTTTTTTGAGTGCTTGAATCAGTAAAGTCATTTTCAGATTGTATCATCTGATTTGTGAATTGTTTTTATTGTCACTATAGACTGGTGGTGTGGACTTAATTTATTTATTTTCTGAATATGACATGACACCTGCATGGCATCAAATATCCAATGAGATGACCAATAGACAATCATCTCTACCTTAAAAAATATCTCGCAATCCTTAATCGCTCGTGTAGAGTAAACCCTACGTTCATACTAGCTACAACCTTGTAAGTACCATTATAGCTCCTCATCTGATAGACGGCGTTACGTGAATGACTTTTAATGCTATATATCATATATTAAAGTCTTTTCAGTAAATCCGCGATTAATGCACTTAGTTCCGCTTTACAGCTTTTTATAAAGTCTGTTGCAGTGTTTTTGAAGTCATTCTGGTGGCTGCTAATTTAATCGACGACTCCGCTTTTGTCAATCGTCATGAGAGTTTTATTTGATTTAGGATAAAAATCTGATTTTTCTTCCATTCCAGAAGCAAATGTATTAAAATACATCAGTCAGACTCAAGATCGAAACAAACTCAAGTAGTGTTACGTCAAACAAAACGACATGACTGTACAGTACACCAAAAAAAGAAGAAAAAAAAAAAAACGTATTCGAATACAGAAATTCATTTGGTCCTTTGATGCTGTCGGAAGATCGCGCTAACAGTACCGTAATAGAAAACGTACATGTATGCTTCTACTCATATTTTTGTGCCTTTTCATAGCATGGCTCTCCCTGTAAAGATTATTTTTGGATAACCAGCCATATATTTATTACGGAAAAATTAATGTTATTGCACTAGTCATATATATATATATATATTTAAAAAAAATTCCTCTAAGACATTTCAGATGACTTTCCAAGAAAAGCAGAACACAATCCGGTTCCGGCTTCGGTCTCCTGCTGAGTACGAATCAATTTATGCATGTTGACATCTGACGTCTTGCGCTTAATCTGTACATACTGATATATGATAGCTACGGCTCATATAGACAAGTGCTAATGACTTAGAGACGAAACTCCGTGGAGATCAGATTTGATTTTGTACCCTGCTTTCTCAAACTGGTTGTAATGATCTATATCCTGTGTTGTGGGGAATAACCTGTTGTCTGCCCAGTCTTTGTTTTCTTAGAGCACGACAGTTTTTTTAAGATACAGCATGTAATGTGAAGTTGACATTTGGTAAATAATATCTTGTACCGTTTAAGGTGGATGTTTACAGAGAATCGTATTAACATTGGCAGCGATGGAAACGTCTCTTATCGTAGTGTTCTAACAGTTTTCATGCAGACAATCATAGTCATTTTGAAGCTTTCTATGGGACATGTCAGTGAAAAAAAAGATTTACTTTTTCCATCAGAGATTTCCTGTAAACTGCTTTAGATCATCTCAGTGTAGTTCAGGGCAGTGCTGGTAATGTAACAGCGTGAGGTCACAGCTGATAAACATGTAAGATTCATTTTTATGCTCAAATCGATTCTGGAAAACTCTGAACTAGAAGTTCAGAAGTCTGTCTAGAGGGTGATGATGCTTTCTTTGGCGTCTTTGTCTGTGCCCTGATAAGGAGTCAATAAGTAATAGTGACAGATAAGCTGCACCAACTTCAAAAGTGGGAACTATCCTACATCATGTAGGAATTGTTTGTGTGCGTATGGCATCGCCCCCAGTCTTAAGATCCCCTGAATCACAAACCAGAGAACCATATGAGTCAGCCCGTGAAATTCCCACCACTGCCCTGTTGCTCCGTTTTGTGATGCTGAGATCTGAGGAACGTACAAGGGAACCATTTTTTTTTTTTTTTTTTTTTTCCGATTTGGCACGTCCCAACTGTCGCAATTGGATCCTGCATCATATTTGTAAGACTGCAGAACACAGCTAGTCAGGAAGTCAGTCAGGGTGCCAAAAGTAAACAAGGAATTGTGGCCCAGTCATTGTCTGGGTGACAGTCTACTGTATTCTGTATTTTATATGAATATATGCAAATATATGTATGAGATGTGAATAAAGTACATTTATCCACCATTGCTGAGGCTTGGGTGGGCTTACTTCTCATTATGACTAATAAAATCATCATAATGACAGTTGTGCTGTCTGCTTCAATTCAACATTTTTGATAGTTTCCTGTTTTCGACTTTGTTTTAAAAACGTACGTAAAATCCATTTGACGGGACGGTTCACTCATTAACTTGCAGAAGAAATGATTCATTTAACTTCATTGTAGTTCAGATAAGTGGCGAATCATTTTTTTTTTTTTTTTTGTTTCACCACAAATTAATTGATCTTGAATCCAGTCAATTGGAATAGAGTTTAACTATCTGATTCCTTGATCAGGTTGCAATGAATTGAGTAATGTGTAAAAAATGTATTGCTCAAAACTATTTTATGACTTCAAAAGACTTCCAATATCGATGTTGATTCATACTGACCACTTTAATGATGTTGTGATTGATCAACAATGATCAATCATCATACATTTCCTTTAAATTCTTGAAAAATTTGGTTCCCATTTTGTGTATAGCATCAAAATTTCTTATTTTGTGTCTCAAGGAAGAAAAGAAAGAAAAACATGTAGGTTTGCAATGACATGAGGGTGAAATAATAGAATGTTGATGTTTGGCTGAACTCTTCCGTGTAAGTGTGTGTGAACTTTGTTGATTGGAAATAGCATGTCATTGTCACACGGTAATCCGGTTTGGGATTCAATTTCAGTCAAATTTAACTTTCCTCTTTCCTGTTAAATGGAACAATACATTTGCTATGTAATTATCATGAGGGTTTTTACTTAAGACATTCCAAAGCAGATCCATAAGGTCAAATCATGTCACCATTACAGTGTGATCAAGCTCCACAAGAAAAACTGTTTAAACACAGAAACTGAAGGAAAATAAAATACTTAAAGAACATTTTCCCCCCCCCAAAAAAAAGCACTTGATGTTGAATGTTCTTAAAGTGACAGATCACCCAAAAATAACAAATCTAATCAAATCAAATTTGTATGTATGTGTTTTTTTTTAATGTAGCTTATTGTTTTGTCCATACAATAAAAGTCACTAAAGTTGTTTTGGACCCCATTGACTTAAACTGTGTGGACACACAGGTTGAGAATGACACTTTGGCTAAAACTATACTTTTAAGTGCTATTACTCCTGCAGCTTCTAAATCCCCCAATTGGTTCAAGACTGTTTATGGGCCCAACTACAAGCCTGCGGAGTGAAAATGCTCTAAGCTTAAGATGACTGATCACACACCATCAGGGAGTCATTGCAAAAGTTAGGCCCAAGCTAACAAGAAGGAAGAGGCTTCCTGAGGTTATCTGGATGGTGCGTAATATAAACCTGCTGTGTGCAAATTCTCAAGCCTCTTTTACTGTTCCCTTGTTAACTCAGAAATTTTGCTCACTCCACAAGTTTACAACCTTAGCAGGCGGAAGAAACAGGCACCGAGTGTTGTAGAGGGGTTTAAGCACGAAATAGCGTCAAAATCATTTCAGTCAGTCATTCGAACTTGTTAATTTGTGCAAGTAAAGAATATATGGACAGTCATCTCTCCCTCCCATGCATGTGTGGGCAGCGGCGTCCCGCTGCGCAAATATGCAGGCGCTTCAGCAGCACGCTACAATAAACTCTGCCGTCTCTTGAATCTTGAACCCAGATTGCGGAAAGCATAATACAGAAGATAAAAATGGAAGCGATTTTGCATAACAGTCTACGGCTCATTCTCCTCTGCCCTGCTCGGCGGCCCCCTCGCCTCTACATTAGCGTGGGTTGGTACGCTGGTTGAGAGCCCAGGCAGATGACACTATAAGCCTGTCCCCCTGAATGCCAGCCTCTCCTGTGACAGTACGTACATTAACAAAAAAGAGCTTTTGAATGTGTGACAAAGGTCTTTATGAATTTAAATGTGTGCGTTTTTTCTCGGCGGTGGGAATCGGCACAGGACCTTAGTCACAGGTCATGTGGTTTAGGGTTACTAAAAGCCTCTACCAATAGATTTGTGTTGTGCGCTTTTTGCCCTTTTACAAAGCCCTTTCTGCAGCCGCGAGAGAAAGCACTCACCCCCAGGTGGGGAGCGGAGACGGACGAGTCAGGTCCCTGGAGGCCGTAACCAGAGGCTTATCAGAGCCCGACGTTGTTCTGTAATACTCCTGTGAAAGGCCTTCTCCGCCACCTCCCAATGGCTGCGTCTCTGGGCAGAAGGCTGTAATGGAGATCTCCGTGGCCCCTCGGTAAGCAACCAAGGAGCGAAAGGGGGGTCTGTCTCGGGATGAGGCGTCCCACTCCAAAGCCGAGCGGGGACGGTTGGAGAGATGACACGTAGGCGTGACAGAAGAGAGGAGAGGTCCAGTGAGTCAGAGGAGAACGGCTCGGGTTCTCCTCAGGGGTCCCCCGCCGCGAAGCGTCACCTCATGGGGGCGCAGGTGGACACGCCCGGCATTCGAACGCCACCGCGTTTCTCACAGGCTCCCCGAGGAGTGTTTGTGTCATGGCTCAAAAGGATTGGATAAAGACCGGGAAGGTTTACATCAGTTCAATGACATTAAGATTAAAACCAAGGCCCTGCCGATTCAGCCGAGATGAGTAACCTGAGATTTCATGATATGACGAAGACAAATGTCCTGCATGGTCGGATAAAGATAAATGCAGTGTTACCGTGAGTCATACCAACTCATTGCTTCTTGGCTGCTATGCTGATTGAAGTCTTAAAAGTTTAGGCTTTCTTTTTGCCAGCTGAGACAACCGTTGCGTTGTGGCCTACTGTAGCAGCCTGAAAGTCTTTGTGAAAACATAATTTCGCTTCATTTTAGGCTCTTCGTGAGTGCCTAAAGCAGTGATACTGATTTGAGACCTCAAGATGACGCATTTATCACACTTTAAAATGTGGTTCTCTGTGCTTTCTACGCTGCAGTAATGTGTAATGCAATTCATAATTCGATTCAATTATCATTAATGGGTCAGTTTTATTTACGATGTAATTGCATTTTTAGTTTATTTGGTTCCTTAAAAGTCAGCCACCTCAGGGAGATTATTTCATTTCAAAATTCTTTATATAAACCCACACATCGTGTTGATTCCCAGGAGAGAAAAAGGGTGTGTAAAAGGAGGTGTTTCACTTGATCAACAATGAGCACTGTTGGGGGTTTATATTGTTTGCTGCTCTTTGAAATGCTGATTCTTTTCACACTATTTCATTTAATTATTTCAAAAGAGTAACTTGATAACATTGAGGGTTTAGTTGCCCATCAAAAACATATTCTTGATACAAAGGCTTTTCCTCCAGGAGATTATCGTAAAATGAATTGAAAGGCATCTATTTCATGTATACCGGTAGCTACATATAATGCCATATGGGTTACAGCAAATGCAATCTTTTATTTGAACATTAAGGACCAAATTAATGTCAATATTTCAAGTTGTGGCTGATTATTTTGGATTATTTCAAATGTATAAATGGTTATATCAATTCTAATGTAGTTTATGCAACAGTTCATTCTGGTTCAAATCTGATTGTCTGAGAGCCTTTTTTTCAGCCGTGCAATGTTCTACCAGTATCACCACAGGGACTGTTTATCCATTTGATTCACTCCGCTCTCAGAAACTATTTCTTCTCACAGCGAGCGTCATGGCAGATGAGCAAACTCACCATCATTTTACAAATACTAATGTTATGTCACAGAATGTAGGTGAGAATTTAATTATTTAGACCTCAAATATGCATAAACATTTAAGATGTTTTCAAAGATGTGGGCTCTAGGCCGTCGGTAGCCACTTTATCTCGGCCAGTCCTTTAGGAATTATGTAGATAGTGTTTAACATGAGGTATAATTCATTTTGGGTATATCAAACAGGCAATCTCTGGTCTTGTTAATCTATTACTTGTTCCAGAGCAAATCCATTTGGCTAAGGGCAAAGTTAAAGGGTTAGTTCACCCAAAAAATCAAAATCATCTCATAATTCACTCACCCTCAAGCCAGTGTCCACCCATCGCATCCATCCATCCATCCATCATAAAAATAATCTATATGGCTCCAGGTGGTTAATAACCTGTCCCCTAATCGGATTCTTCTGGGCTTTTCCCCCTTACTCAGGATATATTGAGCGTACAAAATCAGTAGAGTTTACCTCTGTTGCAATTTGTTCTAGGTTGACCCCCATTTTGGCTCAAAACAACTGGACTATTATACCTAGGTATAGTACAGGATTTCAGTTAAATAAAAATAAAAAGTTATGAAACTAGTTCACCCTGCAGTGAAACTAGTTCAACGAGTTTGCTTCTGTTCTAATTTGTTCGACCTTTTTTCATAAAATGACTATAACTATAAATATGGGTGAATCACAGTTGTGCTGATATAGAGCAATAGCACATGTGAATATTGACTCACCAATATAGGCCTAATCAATTATTCCTGAAAAACATTAAATAAAATTAATTATACATGACATGACAAAATGCAGCCAGTATAAACAGTTGAAAAATTTGTCCATGTTTGAATCCAAAATATAATAACTGTATTAGTGGACTAACGTAGGGAATAGTGAATGAACTTACTTCCTGCGCATGCTCTGTCGTGAGCGAGGAAAGAAAGCCGGATATGGTTCTAACGGATATGGTTTGAGCGCGTTCTTCAAATTAGGCCTACAAGTGGTTATTCCGGTTTGATCGTCGACTTCGTCGAACGAAGGTAAGAACATGTACGTTTTTATTCACTTGAAAATGGAGCTATATATGGGCGAGAACTTTTTCTATACACAAAATAAATTTTACCACATGGAGTTTCTTCTAAAAATGTGAATTTCTCAATGAGAAAATTTATTTGAAACACAACCTTTCAAAACAATATCACGTGCTGCATTACAATCTTTCCTATAGCATTCATCTTCATTATCAATGTCTGGGCTAACGTTACAGCTTTTTTTCTAGCGGTCAATCATTATTTATAATTATCATGTGCATCTGTTTAACGTCAACATATAGCCCACTAGTATAATTCTCACGGTTTACTGCCCGTGCATACCTTTTTGGCACATAAGGAAAAGATGTTGGAAGTTCACCTAAACATTTCCATCATTAACTCTTGGTCGGC